TTTTTTCAAATAGACTTCTTCAAAAGGAATTTAGAGACTAGTGCATTTAGATTGTTTTAGATTTCTGCTCCTCTGCATCTGAGCCTGCCTTGATGACCCCATACCTGCTGGCTGCCATCATCTCCACGGCCGGTCAAACGACAGGTCACATTGCAGCGCAAGCCCAAACGAGGACCAAAGTCTACGGCAACCTCTGGGTCCCTCCATTAAAAACCAGACCCTGAAAACTGCTGAAGACAGCTGGGTGAGGTTGTTAAATCATCGCAGTGGACGTGGACACATAGAGCCTGTCCTTGGGCTGCGCGGAGCCAAACACAGCTGATTTGCAGGGGAAAAGGGACCCAGAATCTTTTTGCTCTAACTAAATACTGACAGCAAAGCCAAGCCAGGCTTTTATAATGTGCAGACCGCGCTGGGGACCAGCTCAGTGCAGCTTAGGACAGCTCTTCTACACAGGCTTCTCCCTGGCGAGAGTCTGTAGACTTGAGCCTCTCTTTTCTGTCCCACAAGGTTACAGGGTTCCCTGGCAATAATTTGCAATAGCCTAGTTTCCTCAAAGTACAGATCTACAGGCTGAAAAATCATTAATACATAAACAGAATGTACACATTAAAGACTAGAAGACACTTTAGTTTGCTCTTAACACCGGTCTTGCACTTCAAGCTTTCATTGTTTTTTTCTTTCTTGGGTATCTCTACATGTGTGTAGCTACCCAGTTGCTATTAATGTCTGTATTCAACTGAAGTAGGAAAATGAAAATTGCAGTAAATTTTACGATATGTTTACATTATAACTAGGTTTATAGAGGCATTGTAATTCATCGTGTATCCCAACAGAAGTATGGATCTCTTCCAACTCAATTTTCTGAAGTTCGAGTTTGCAGCTGGGTCACTCCTGGTGTAATGACGGGGATGCAGCTCCTAGGGCTGTGGGTCGGAGGAGCAGTGTCCCGGCTGTCACCGCCACCCATCAGTTACCGCGCCGGGGGCTGAGGGTAGAGCATCCGAATCGCTTTCTGTGGGCACAGCAGCACAGCTAGCTTCATAAATTTTGTTGCAAGGAGCAGTAATCAATACTTCATGGTTAATGACGCAAAACTGAAATTAGTATAGATTTTATGTCTCCTTCTCTTCCCAATTATGCAAACATTGCTATGCCCCTTCTGTAGTTGCCTTATATTACTGTTTTTATAAAGACTGTCTGGTGATGTTTAATTGAAAGACCGAATAGTCAAAAATGTCACAACCAATTTTGAGTTTTACTTTTTTTTCTGTTCAGTCTTCACCCTGAGGTTAATAGAAAATGATGTCAAACACAAGAAATGATTTATGTAAGTCATGCAGGTTTTGTCACCCAGAGCTATATATAAAGTCAATTGCAAATTGTTTTCACATTCTAAATTACCCTACATAGCTCTGGGGTACGCTGAAAAAATGACCAGCGGAATAATATCGGAGAAGAAAAGGTTATCTTCTGAACTGAACTATGCTTCAAAGAAAACAATTTTGAAAGTTGCTTGTTTTTAATATGGCAGAAGAGGATGTTCCTCAGAGCAGGGGAAAAAAAAAAACAACAAAAAAACAACCAAAAAAAAGGGCAAAAATAAAAAGAAGTTTCCCGACTGGATCGTTTCCAATGGCTGATGAGCGGTAGGCAGCAGCCAGGCCTCCCGAATCACGCGCAGTGCTTTATCAGCAGCAGCGTGTCCACAAAATGGTGCTGCAATTAGAGACCCAGAGGGGCAAAGACTGGGGAAACATCTAACTTGGCGTCTTGACAAATCTAGTTTATGCATAAAATATATTTTGCAGTAATAGTCCTTCCAAGGCTGGCGGGAAATGAAAGCTGCATGAGGAGTAAATCAGCTACCAAGTGTGATCTTGTTTTGTGTCAAACAGGGGAGAATCTTGTACAGGATCAAAAAGCACCATGTAAAATTTCACTGTTTGACAAAATTGGCTTTAATTGGGCAAGCAGAAGGTAGAGCTGGCTGATCTGTCGTGCTCCTGGAGATTGCAACAGTCTTACTGGAAACAAAAATCTTTGATTCATCTCCAGGTCAGTTAAGATACAGAAGATGAAAATATCCTTGTTTGGCCTTTTAATGTTCTTAACCTTCCTGGGAATCCTGTGTCTCTTTGCAAGGCAGATGTGAAGTAAATTGCCCTTCTTCCTTACTCCCAGTAGCTTTTGCTTTCACATTTGATTCCTGACTTAACAAGCTAAAAGAAGTCATGAGTTAACATCTTTATGTTTTGCATAGGCTTCCATCTTCCAGTGTTGCTTAATTATCAAATGGGTGATGTATTAAAGACAAACCTGAAGGCACATCCCTGCATCTTGGGGAGATGATGCCCTTTGCATTGCATCACAAGGATGTGCTCTGGAGGGTTCGATGTTTGCCTGGCAGCCGGGCTTTTAAGGAGACCGGGCACGTGTGCTCTGTGCGTGCGTGTCCCGGCGATGCCAGGGCACACTCTGGGATTGTGCCCTGCAAGGGGATGGAAAGCTCAGCCCAGGAATTGCATCCCCTGCAGCACACACTTCATTGCGACCAGGTTCTCCTCCACCCCTCGACTCCCACCCCTTCTGAACAATAAAACCCTGCCAGTCAGATACAATTTAGTTTTCTTTAAGCCAAATCTCTGTGCTGAAGGTCATGAGTAGATTTTTTCCCAGGACATTAGCATGGATGCAGGGAACCCCAGCTATGCATCTGCAGTTAAATTTGTGACCTCTCTGCTATTGGAACAGGATCTGATGCAAATACCCCGCTGAAGGTATCGTGCTCTAAATCACAGCCAGTGACTCCCCTAATTATGAGACTGAATACTGTCTGATTGCAGAACAAAGAGAAGTGCCTGAAAGTACAAGCTGATGCTCACTTGCCTCTTACCAAGACCTTCTCCTCTCGAATCAAAGCAGCCACACACCTAAGACATGAAAGAATACTTTCCTCTTTTGCTCTGCCTATTATTGTTGTAGGTCTGATATTTTCTTTCAAGCTTGCGCTGGACACATTGATAAATATATTGGTTTCTTTGTAGTTATTTTGGACATCTAAATTTGAAAGCAGTCCTGTAGACACTCAAGGGACCATTTTGTTTAGTGGTTGGTTTACAAGGTTTCGAGGTTGAGTGGGAATCTCCAATGTCAACCAAGGGCTTCCCATAAGCACATTGAAATGGTTTTTTTTTTTCTCTCTTTGTAGGAAGAACTCAAAAGGCTCCAGCACACCTTGGAACAGGTCAATGATGGCAAAGACTTGCTGCAAAGGTAAATGTGCGACTTCCACAATGTCTCGCACATGGTGCAGTGAAACGGCGTTTATAAGGCAACAAGCCCTTTCTGAGGGGCATTCTCTGTGTTGTAGACAATGTTTTTCACTTGGTAATATACTAAATATTCAAGATTTTGCATGTCTCCCATAAACGATTCTTATTTTTAGTTACAGGAGGATAATTTCTGAAAACTGCTGCTGATTGAATGATGTAATTAAGTGTCCAGTAAGGTCTCAAAATAACTCCACAGGTTGGGGTCTAATCTTACAAATTTTCATGCGAAGACTTTTCATTCATGCTGCTAGTCCCATCTAAAGCAGTGTCAGAGATGTTTGATTTTTATCTTCCAGCATTTTAGAATTGCTTTCTCAACGCGATTGGTTTGCAGCACCAATTCCTCGGTCATCATTTGTTACAAAGAATTTTTTCTTCACATTCCTGTATGGCTTTTGCTGATGTAATTCATTTGCTACCAGCGCTACCATTGTTACTTTCCATTTTACTCTCCAGCTTTTCAAACGTAGCCCCAGGGATGAAAGTTAATTTAGCAAGAATATCTATTATATTTGCCAGTGGGGTTTTTATTTGCAGCGGCTTCTTTGCTGGGTGTGCCTGTCTCTGGGGCTGTGGCATCTGGAAGGTTTAGTGCAAGGACTCAGGCAGGCTCCGATCTGGAAACTGGATCCAAATTCATACTTTTTGTTAACAGTTAAATGGGGCTGGATACAGGCACCCAGACACCTTCCTCCAAAGACAGCAACACCTTATAATAAGCAGCTCTTGTATGTTCTTGTCAAAATTGTGGAATTAATTCACAGCAATTGTAAAAATGTCATGCTGAGACGCATTAAATCAATTTTTTTTTTCTTTTCCATAGCCATCAGCTTGCCATGGATGAAGAAAATAATATCGAAAAATATCATATCAACTTACAGCCCTTGGAATCTAAAGTGAAAATGTAAGTAACGAAGAATGTCGTTTCTGCCTTTAAACGCAGCTGAGTTTGCCTGATTCCCGAACCGCAGAACCCAGACTGTAACCATCGTGGGTTTCTGTGTAACTTTAAAGGATAAAAAAGTGTCTAATTTAGCAAGTTAACTAAGCTCTTCTCTACCTTTAAGCACGTAAACCTTCTCTTTGAACTGAGTTTCAAATGTTAAACTTCAATGTTGCACTAATTTTCTCATTTCCTCTGTGAAACTAAAGAATATTTGAGAATCTGCTAGATTTTTCATCTATGCAGAGAACATCCTAGAGGGGGGAAGTAGAGCACAGAGCAAGCAGAGGTCTCCTCGGTGGTACTTTTCACATCTAACGTGAAGCCTGGTTAAAGCTCCCCAGGCAGCTCACAGGACTCCTCTACAAGGAGCAGTCTTGGGTTTGCATGGGGATGGAGACCTGAGTCTGAGGCGACCAGGGTTCCTGGACCAGGGGCTGAGGCACAGCTACATGGCACTGAGAAAGCTGGGTTTTATTGGAAAAGTCGGGTTTTTATTGGAAAGGGAGGCAGTGCTAGCGCTCAGCCGAGGCAGATGCATGACACCTAGCTACATCACCTGGAAGGAAGAGAGAAGCATCACTGTGTGCTGGTCGTGAGCTCCCCAACTTCCAAATGCAATGATTTTAGCCTTTGTAATACACTTCCCACACATTGTATAGTTTACCATGGGGTCAGTTATTCTAAAAGGCTTGACTGTGCTGTATCAGGACATGTGGTAATACTGGGCATATCACTTAAAACTTACGCACACGTCTATCAGAGCAGAGGACTCCTCTTTGTGCCTCTTCCAGTGGTGTTCCTCCAGCCCTGGTGCAGGCATTAGCTCCATCCAGCAGATGCTAACACAGTGTCCCTGGACTTCCCAGGAGACAATGAAAGTTTAACGTGGCTCCACTTGCATCAAAAAACACAAACATCTTTATGCTGAAGCCCCCAACTACTTCATGGTGAAATTTTGCGACGTCAGGCACAACTTTACACAGAGTTGTATGCGTTACTACTTTTCATACTGAATTTCACGTTCAGTTGAGAAGCTACAGCTAACTTGCTATACAGGACATTAAAACATTAATGCTATATTAAAATATTAAAAGGACACGAAGTTTCAAATTAAAATCCAGCCAGTGTCTTTTAGTCATGCAAATAGAAGCCAGATGAAAGAACAAATTTGCAGAGAGCTTTCTGGAAGGTTAGTTATGACTTAACCCTGGTATATTCTCAAGCTTTAAAATAGAAAGTACATGTAAATATAAATACGTAAATACCATGTAAGGAGTGCCCACCTGCTCCCCGCAGAGCAGCACCAGAGCTTTGCACCGCCTGCTAGTCTGGGAACAACTCAAGCAAAGGTCGGGGTACTCTACCTGATTAACAGACACACGGAAGGTTTTACTGACTTGACAGCCCAGTGAATAAACTTTCCATTGTTTAAAAATCCTAAAAGGAGCTCTTTCTAGCTCAGTGCACTGCAGCGACGGTGCTGAGCCTCAGGTCAGAATTTAGCTCTGCTTTTCTGCAGAGTTCGCAGCTCGTCCTGTGTGCAAACCCCCACGCACTTTGCGTCAAAGCCATTGCTGTTGAAAACACAAGTTTGACTCCCAGCACCTCTCCCTGGGCTCCCTGGCACCTTCAGAAAGGCACAGGCAGTCTGGCACTGCCACCTGGTGAGAGCCACCCTGGCCACCAACCGGCACTGAAAAATGGAATTTCTGTACAGGATTTCACAGCAGATTTTTAGAAACCTGGTCAACGTTTAGAGTTTGGAAGCAGAACTCCTACCGCCATCCCCAGGCATTGCTTTGGAGGAGGTTTGAAGTCCCCAGCTACCCAAGACGAAGGAGATTTTAAAGGATACTGGTCTGGCTTGGAACTGCCAACTGTATCTGCATTTTAATCTGAAAGCTGATACAAATATAAGATGTTGAAGGCTGTTCATTTCTTTTAAACAGATAAATGCATATTTTTATTTTGTTTGCAAGATGTAAGAGAATTGCTGAGTTACGTACAGTCTGAAATTTAAATCACTTCTGTAGGTTTAGGGATTTGAAATAAAGAATTTCTTCCACTTAACAGAAGTGGAATATAATGACTAATATAAGTGGAATATAATGACTAATATAAGACCTACAGAGGGTAGTTATGTGTGATCACTCTCCAAATCAGAAAACAAAGTGCACACAAAAAAAAAGATAAAAAAGCCAAACCCCACCTCTTCAGTCCAGAATACATTTTTTAAATCCTTTTTCTTGCTGTATTTTCCACCCCTCAACCCTGTGCCTTGGTGTTTGCCTCAGTATCCAGCGAGCATGGCGTGAGTACGCCCAGCGCCAGGACCTGCCACCCCAGGAGCAGCTGGAGAAGCGCAGTCCCTCCCCGCCATCCCTCTCCTCCGACAAGATGAGCAGGTCCATCAGCATGAACACCTTTTCCGACAGCAGCACACCGGTGAGTACAGCGCTTGGGCCCGTTTTCATATTTGTTGCTTCTCGTTGGGTTCCCTTCTAGGATTTGGGGTAAAGGAAAGCTAAATGATGGGCTACTCATGAAAGAGGGACTTTTCGGGGAGTAGTTGTGGCTCAAATGAACCCGCAAGCAGATGTGGCTCTTGTAGGTGCAGTTGAACATGTGACTGTGCGCCTTAGACCCGGATCTCCTCAGATACTAGCAGTGCTCCTGATGGGAAAAAGGTGTTCCCAAATGGTGGTGTGTCCTTCTGCAGAAAGCGGGGATCTTCACATGCGTTTAGCACTTTGTGTTCTCCAAAAAAACCCAAATGGCGGTGCTTTTCTACAAATAAATGTAGTTTCTAGTTTGGTTTTTTTCCTAAAAGAGACTGAAAAATTGATCTAGAGATTAAAAATTAAATTTGATTTTGGAATAAATATTTGTGCCGCCTCGCAGACTGGCTGACTAGTGGCTGGAGGCTGTACTTCTCTTTTTTAAGGTGACTCTAAACTAGAGACCCCAATACAGAGCCCCTTTGTTGAAAACAAGCGCCTCTGTGACTGTCTCTGGAGTGGGATCTTCTAGGTCAATAAATCAGCAGCTAGATATAGAGCCTATAAATATTGCTTTCAGCTTTGTGACAGAATGCATCTGATTGGAGGGAACTGTAGACTAGACCGCATAAAATAATTCAATAGTTTAAAGAAAATACAGGAGATAAAGTTGCCCCAGGGTGTGTTGGACCAGCTACATAAAAGCAGGATGAGTCCCACTGTTTGACTTGAGATGAGCAGGGTAGGAGTGAAGGGGTTCCTTGCTATCGGTGCATATGGCTCCGCTATAGGATGCCCTGTTACCGGTCATGGGACAGTGTTTGGTGGCTTCTGAGTTCACTACAAAAATCTAGAAATCATGGCTTAAAGTAGATGGAGCCCCTGTGCAAGGAAGAGTTGTTTGTTAGTTTAACTCTGCCATCGGTTGCAAAGTTGGAGCAATGCCACCTGCTGTAAAGCTCCCAGATCCGACAGAGCTTTTCTGTGCTAAGAACTCTGGTCTTGGGCTTACGGGGACAATTTGACTCTTTCCTCCGTTGAACCAGGTTCAAACTGAAGCTAGGTGAGCTATTTCCAGCAGCTACTGTTTTTGTGACACTGTGGTTAGGCAGGCTGCGTTAGATTTGACAGCATTTTATAAAATATTACTGAGAGTGCACTGTTTTATTTTTAGATGCCTTCTGTTCATAGCTGGAGACCAGGATGATAAACTAGGTTGCAATATTGGGTTGTATGCTAACGTCTCATGTATTAAGCGAGTCGGGTTCCTCTAACGAGAGGTGTAAATTCGGATATAAATGTTTATGTGCCGCTGGCCTTTGTTGGAGCCTGGCTGCCATGAGCCTGAGCCAGCGGCTCGGCCACCACAAGATGTCCCTGGTACCCTGCGCAGGGAGGCTCCTGGATGCTCTCAGAGGTTCTCCATCAGTAACCTAACTGGGAAAAGGATGCATTTTCAATGCTTTCGGGTCTTTTGGGGTAAAATGAGTACGTCTGGGAGTTACATATCTGTGGGAAAACGAAGCCTGGGTACTAGAATTGCTACTTACATCGTATTAATGCAACACCCACTCATCTCACTCCGGCATCCTACTTGTTTAATGCAAAGGAAGATGGGAATATTTTCTTACACTTTTCTAGTGCCAAGCCTGTCAATAACCTTTGGAAAACCAAGGGACATTTCTGATGGCAAAGGAACCCCCGTCTATTTAGTATGTCCTTGATTATTGCAATACCTGAGGCTGTGAGGGACCCACACTTTTACATGAGGGATGGCCCTCAATTCTGAGATGAGGCCCCGTGACTCCAGGCAAATGCCGTTGTACTTTTCAAGGTCCTTTACAAACTATTTAAAACCAGACTTACTGGTTTAAGATGTTTTTCTGTCTGCATCAGAGAGTTCTGTGGGGCATCATGAAGGTAAGGAGCAGATGAAGGAGGTAAGGAAAAGCCTTTAGTGTGCAAACTCAGTCCGAAGAGGGAGGAGGTTGGAAACATGAAATCTGGCGGGGAGGTGTTATACAGGGAAGGTCTGAGAACAGCTACGGCCACCAAGCCAAAAGGCAACAACACTGTTTGGGGTAGTTTTGTTTCCTGATTGCTTCTGATGAAATAAAACAGTGCTGGCCCTGTGTGGATCGTGGTCCCAGCTTCTGCAGTGTGTGGTTGGGCACAAGGGTGTGCGCACAGCAATGCCACCAGTGCCCGTGCCTCTCGGGGCTGGGCTGGGTCATCCTTGCTAGTCCTTGGACACAAACGCTGAGGACAGACTCCCTTCTAAAGCAGTAGTGAGTATGGTTCTGTCTGATGCACGTGTGCTTTCCTGAGGGCAAATGTCGCCTATTTTTGGTTAGAAATTGATACTGACAGGTTCAGGGCGGGGCAGGGATAAGGCCAGAACAAACCAGGGACAATTAACCATGAACTGTTGACATGTGAATGGGAAAGTAACTGATTGTCTTAACTAAATAAAGACTTGGGCAGAATTAAACACACCGTTTGGACTGAGTCACGTTTTCTGCTCAAGTATAAGGTAAACTTAAGGAAGGGTTAAAAAACCATCTGAGCAGAGAAACTGCTGAGTAATCTTACACTCTCTTGAAGTTCTGTGTTTACAAGACCCAAGCTGGAAGCAGGGGAGGGGAGTTGGGGAATAACCAAGCAAACACATCCACTTGCCGAATCCTCCATTTGGCCCACATTCCAGAACTAGACCTTTGAAAAATGGGGCAAATTAATTGTTATGCCATTTCTTTTGCAGTAACAGTGCTGCTGGTGCCCTAATATGCCTATTACTAGCCTTTGCATAAAAGTATGCTGTGCTGAGCAATATGGAGTCATCCCAAATTTCTCTTGCTATGTGGCAATCTTCCTCTGAAAAATTTGGAGGAGGGAGAAAGTTAGCCTGAAATTTGGACTCTTTGGAGGTTTTCCTATTTGTTTTTCAAAGAGGTAGAAAGCAACTAGCACGTCAAAATATGTTAGCAATAAGCACTGATGCAGATGGGAGAGAGAAGTTTATGAAGTATTTTGAGAAACCGCTGTCACAACACAGCCACTTAATTCAGCTGAAATCTAATCCTGGTTTTCAATATCCTTTCTTGGCGCAAGCCTCCCAGTGTTCAGCTTTGCTGGATCCTCATCTGGATCTTACACACACCAGGGGCAAAAAAGTAGTTGGCTACTTGAAGGGGGAAAACCAGAAAGGGTCTCATGCCCAAGGAACAAATGAGAGCCTATGGGCTAACAAATGCATGCTACTGCAGCAGGATGGGTATTGAAACTGTGTCCACCAAATATCTGTTTATACCAGTGCGTGGGACCAGCAGCTGCTGTGAGGTTTATCCAAACTGCTGAGGGACAACAGAGAGTGTCAGCGCATTCAGGTCTGCAGCTGGAGGGTGAAGGATGAGTTGAAAGAGGACATCTTTGAGCTCATTTCCACTGTTACTACAAACCTCCTGAGGTATTTGAAAGAGAAGATGGGGAATTATTAGGACTGAGAGAAGTCAGAGTTTCAAAAGCATTTTTTCCTCTCTTGCCCTTGAAACTTTTCCATTCTTAAAAAATAAAGACAAAATGTGCAAAGAGAAACTAACAAAAGTAATGAAACCCATAGAAAACTGAAATCCAGTGAAAAACCTGTACACCCAAAGTAAAAAACTGCCCAGAATCAAAGGTGTGGGGCCATTTGTCAGCACAGGCCCTGCTCATGTGAGAGGTGGGAGGGCAGGGCACCGGCGCCAGCGCTGACCTGCGAGGAGTTAGCAGTGATGGCCCGAGCCTTGACACTAGCTGTGTGTTCCAGATATGCAGGCACTTTGACATTTGTAATCATCGTAACTTTGTGAATTCATCAAATATGACATTTTCTTGTTGTCCCAGCAAAGAAAATAACTACTGAAACACAACGCAACAATTTTAGAGTAACTTTAGAGAAGTGAGGAGGAGGGGAGGGACCAGGAACAGTTATTGCTCTGCTCGGCAGCAGTGGAGATGCTTTCTGGTCAGCTGAACCACAACTTTCATGGTTAGCAGGTTTTGTGTGACTTTTTTAAAGCCATTTGGTTCCCATGAGATGGGGATAACTAGCCAAATGGGCTTTGCCTCTGGCCAGTGTGAGACATTGGCCATGTAATCAACCAGTTCATCACTGGTTCATGGCTATATGGTGATGTGAGCTGTCCTTGACTTGCTGAAGATCATATATGTCTTTTATGTATTTGGCTTTGAAAGGTTGTAGCTTAGCCCTGCTGGCTGTAGTTACCATATTTCAGTTCAGAGAAACAACCTAATTGTGTGGTTATGAGTCAGAAGCTTGATAAATCATTAATTATGATACCTTTGAATCAAGTGTTTGAACTTGTTCTGCATCAGCTAGCTGCCTTCATGACTGCAGAAAACTGTTGCTCCCAAGTGAAATACTGATGACAAACTTGTCAAATAGAAAAGAAGCTACAAGATTAAGGAGAAAAAAGCCCCTCGTTTGAAATAATTCCTTATTTTTGCTGCTGCCTCCAGGTCTTGATAATTTTCAGCAGCTCTCCTTTGTGAAATTTTGTCTTAATTTTATGGCAGAGGAACAGTGCCTTCTGGAATGTGAGACACTGAATCCTTGTGGATACTAAAGGGAAAAGACTCTTCGGGTTTGTTTATGTGCCTCTTGCCCTTGAAGCCTGAGCATCTCCTCTCAATAGCATTTCATTACAGTTGTGCATGTCCTTTCGTTAGCTGGCTCAAAGGTACCAGGTGGCAAACAAGGCCACAATTAATTATTTTTTGACTGGCACCACCTTTGCCTTCCTCCTTCTGGCTGAAGGGTTGGTCAGAATGGCAACTGAGGAGAGTGGATAATTTAATTCAAACTCATAATGATTGATCAAAAGAAACTTGAATGGTTCTAGGTAGTTGGAAATCAGTTGGTCTGTTACTCAACTTTTTAAATAAACACGTTTGCAGACAATATAGTTTAAGAAAAACAGAATGATTAGCAAGCCTTTTCTGGGA